CCCCTCATCATTTACAGGGTCTCCTCGAAACATGCTTCAACATTATCAAGATGCCATGGCAATCGTAAGACAGTATGGGAAACCTGACCTGTTCATTACGATGACATGTAATCCTAACTGGTTAGAGATACAAGAAAATCTACTGCCAGGTCAAACAGCATCTGATAGACCAGACTTAGTTTCACGTGTTTTTCATTTGAAAAAAGAACGACTCATGGAAATAATCGTGAAAGAGAAGTTATTTGGTGATGTAATGGCATATGTCAGTGTAGTTGAATATCAAAAACGTGGCTTGCCTCACGTTCATCTGCTACTGACATTGAAGCAGAATTCTAAAATTACCACTCCTGATGTTGTTGATAAATATATTTCAGCTGAAATCCCAGATCCTGAAAAAGATACTATTCTCCATGGTACAGTCTTGAAACAAATGATTCACGGTCCGTGTGGAAATTGGTGTAAAGATGAAAAAGGGCGATGTTCTAAAAAATTCCCGAAGAATTTTCAAGAGGAGACATCGATGGATGAGGATGGATATCCTACTTATCGAAGACGCAATACAGGTCATTACGATCGTAATGGTCATTCCACTGATAACCAGTATGTCGTACCTTATAACTCCAAACTATTGAAAATATTCGACTGTCATATTAACGTTGAAGTAGTGACAAGTATTAAATCTGTCAAATATCTTTACAAATATATTTACAAAGGTCATGATGCGGCATGTGTTACGATAAACGATCCCGAAACTAATGAAAATATAATTTCCCATGATGAAATCAAGAATTTCGTGGAGGCTCGATACGTAGGACCAGCAGAAGCATGTGATCGAATCTTAGGAAGGCCTTTGCAGAATAAGAGTCACTCAATAGTACGATTGCCTGTCCACTTAGAAAACCAACAAAACATCACTATCAATGATGATGCAAACGAGAATGATATGAGATCAGCATTGCAACGAACCAACATGCTTCTCGATTATTTTGCTCTAAATGCACGGGATCCTAATGCTCATCAATTCACGTATTCTGAAATCCCATCGCATTATGTATTTAAAAAACAAACTGGCTCCAATGTATCGAAATGGACGAAACGTCAATCGCATTTCAACGTCATTGGACGAATGTATAGTGTCAGTCCAACACAAAGCGAGTTATTTCATCTTCGTTTATTACTGATACACGTCAAAGGAGCGACCAGCTATGCCGATCTCAGGACCGTTGATGGTGAAACATATGAAACGTTTCAAGGTTCTTGCCTAGCTTTAGGTCTTATCGAGGATGACGCAGAATGGGAACGTGCAATGACAGAAGGAGAAGTATGGATGATGCCTAGGCAACTGCGTCATTTATTTGTACGAATCCTGATATATTGTCATCCTATCAACCCCGAAGTACTTTGGGAAAAATTCAAGGAAGCGATGTCTCAAGATTTTCAACGGCTATTGGTCGCGCCAGAAGCAGAAAGAAGAGCTTATATTGAAGTGAATCGACTCCTATCTTATGAAGGATCAGCTATCAGTCGGTTCCCCACGATGCTGCAATTATTGGACTTGGACCATAATATTGATGTCGAGGCTGATGATGAAATACCACTTGAACAACATAGAACTATTGGTCAAAGTCAATATGAGAAATTGAATTCGGAACAAAAAAACATTGTCGATAATGTGTTGAATGCTGTTGAAGCCCGAGAAACAAGCACTACATATTTTTACATAGATGGACCAGGTGGCTCCGGCAAAACTTTCGTTTATACTACTCTTTACCATCTATTACGAGCTAGCGAAAAGAATGTTCACACGATGGCCTTTACAGGTATTGCTGCGATTTTACTCCCTCGAGGGAAAACAGTCCATAAATCGTTTGGCATGCCTGTTCCACTTTTCAATGACTCTGTGTCAAATTTCAAGAATCAATCAAGGAAGGCTCAATATTTACGAGAAATTAATGTTTTCATTTGGGATGAAGCTCCAATGGCACCAAGGTATGCTTTGGAATTAGTTGACCGTTCTCTACGTGATTTCATGGGCAATAATTTACCGTTCGGCGGTAAGATCATGATTCTTGGTGGAGATTTTCGCCAATTACTCCCAGTAAAGCCAAATGCAACCCGCAGTGAACTCGTGAATTTGTCTATTAAGTTTAGTTCATTATGGAGACATTTTTCCATATTCTCCTTGACAGAAAATATGCGAACTTTACCGCAAGAGATCGAATTTGCAAAATATCTTTTGTCTGTCGGAGACGGCACTTTGAACGATGATAACAACAACTTACAAGCTCCACAACAGTGCATCGCTGGAATATCAGCCGATGTAGTCGACTTATTCACTAACATTATTAATGAACGTAGGTATGGAGACTTATCGAAAGTGGCAATTTTATCAGCACGAAATGTAGATGTCGACGAAATCAATAATCGTATCATTGAGTTACTCGACAGAAGGAATCAAAAGATATATACCAGTATTGACAGTGTAGAAGATTGTGATAATGGAGATATAGCTCATGAAGTTCTGCCGGAATATCTCCATACGTTGAATCCTCCAAATTTCCCGCCACATGAATTGAAATTGCGAATTAATTGTGTCGTAATGTTGATACGTAACATGAGTGTCAATGAAGGGCTCTGTAACGGTACACGATTACAAGTACTTGAGCTTGCAAACAATCTTCTACGCTGTCAGATTCTCACGGGTGATAAAGTAGGGGAAATAGTTTTCATACACCGTGTAACCCTGTATTGTGAGAACACTTATCCCTTCGTCTTCAAAAGACGCCAATTTCCATTACGGCCCGCATTCGCAATGACAATCAATAAAAGCCAAGGTCAAACATTCGATGAAATAGGGATCGACCTCCGAAAAGATGTTTTCAATCACGGTCAGTTATACGTTGCATTTTCGCGTGTTCGATCCTGGAGATCATTGAAAATTTTTCTTGGCGCTCAACGTACAAATAATATCGTAAAGAATTATGTGTACACAGAATTATTCGGTTGATCAAGAACAACTATTCCAAAATAGGACTCATTTTCTTCTATTTTTTCACCTAAGAATCTGTTGTAAGCGACCATAAAAAAATCGGTTTTATTCGTCATGATGAACATGAATTCGTATCATTTAATTATTCTAACAAGAAGCGTCGCTGTTCTT